TATTATTATTTATTTTCCCTTCCTTTTCTATTGAAAAGTTTCTATTGACAGTTCTATTGAACTGTCTTTATCTCAACCCATGAGTTTTGTTTCACTCATGCCCTTCTGATTCTCTCCCCATCCCACTATGTTGGGGGTGGGCAAGCGGCTGTGTGGTGTTTGGCTGCCTGCTGGGTTAAACCACGAGAAGAAGGTAAAACCAGCTTTATTAAACTAAGTAGCTAATCTGTTTTTTTTTTTTCTTTTTTTTTACTATCTTGTCACATTTGAGCAGGGATCATACAGAGTAATTTTGTAACTTGAATATCATAATTTCATGGTATTTCTGATGGAAACAATGGTTTGGCATTATGACTTTTTTCCCCAGCTTTGAATGATCACACCAACAATATATTATTTTCTTATTTTCCTTATATTTAGAGGAAGCACAAACAGAAAGAGAAAAATAAGGCTGGAGAAGTAAGATGATTTCAAGTATTTTCAATGAATACCATAATTAGGTTAAAAGTTTTAGATGAAGTTAATTTATTCTCCTTTCAAGCCTTCTTTGTACTTTATTATGTTTGAGGAACTTGATTAAATATGCATCGCTTTTTCTGAAGCTGAACTGAAATCAAAATAAGCTTTTATCAGTGTAATTACACCAGACTAATACACAGGAGTTTTGAGGTGAACATTGAATCCTGTTCCGTTGTTTAAAACATGCATAAAATAGCATATAATCTGTGTGGAAGACTAATCCTTCATTAATTATATTTGTTTCTGTTAGTAGCTGCTTATTTTTAATCATTAATTATTAAGAAAAGAACAAGGCAATAATCTGTGGAAACTTGACACGATTATTTGTCTCATGAGCTGTGATCTCTTTTTAGTTTCTCTAACCATTAGGCAATAAAGGCAATATTAAGCTTAAAAAAATGCTAGCTTTCAATCTTTCTAGATTTCTTTTTAAAATACTTTCTTATTCTAGATAACTGTAACTTACTGCTTAGATTCAGCTTTCCTCCTGCTTAGTAGAATAGTACCTGTCTGTGTATCACAAACTCAAAGCTTTCTGTAAATGTTCATACATCTATGTGTTGTCTGAAACAGTGGTTTTCTGTTTTCAGAAATGCCTATTAATTTTTGGGTGTATGTTTCTTTTGGCCTGAGTTTTTTGAGGTGCTCAGAGCCTGGTTGTGATAGAAGCTGAAGACTTTCATTTCTAATTAGAGACATGAAGGGTTTTTGAAGAGCAAGTGCTAGGACTGTTCAGAACCAATCTCCAAAATTGAGGGTACCCAAAATCTAAGGTTTGTTGGTCATCCTCCTTTGATATGAAAGTTGCTTATATACACTAAAGATAGTTTAGGGTAAGTAGAGCTAGTAAACTCTCCATTTCTGTAGTCCATGTGCTATTCTTTTCTGTTTCAGATAAACATAGTTCTCTTCCTAGTCTGTAAGCTTTATAAGTATTCTTCTATTTTTCTTTAGATATGCCATGTTCATGCCCTTTGTTGATATCTTTTTATTACAAACTTAACTGAAAAAAAACCACAAAAAGCATAATAATAGAGGAAAATTTAAATCTGGCCTGTAAACAGAACATTAATGAAGTGGCTTATATCTGTCTTCACTTTGGGAACATATCTTAAAATTTCTTAGCTTTTTTGTTTTAAAACATGTTAGAAACCATCTCCTAATGCATATAGCTGCTTGCGTAAAATGATTGCTTTAATACTGCTGCTCTTTTTGCCATTTTCACACTTCTGCAGTACTGGTTTAATCTAAATGTAATTTTTTTTTTTTTTTTTCCTTAACAGACCATTCAGTTCTGTTGTGTCTCCTTTTCTGTAAAAAATACACTTTCTTTTTTTTTTCTTTTTTTTCTGAGGCTGAAATTTTTTATGTGTTTTTTGGTGAAAACAGATTTTATCTTTTGGACAGACATTAGATCTCTTCAGATGTCCAAAATCCTGGATATTTCTGTACTATATAATTTGATTGTTTCCAAATATTCTGAAGATGTTTAGGAAAATATCTAGATTTAAACTTCACTCTTCTAAAATTTATGTAGCTGCCATATGATAGTATTGGTATTAACAATGGCATTTCTATCATAGTCATATGTAACAGTATTTTTTGAGAAAAAGGCCAGTGTTACAAGCTTTCTACTCCTACTGCGAACTTATGAGTACAATATAGCAATATAAAATGCGTGTACTAAGGTTAACCGAGATTACATCACACAATAATTTATCTTGCGTCTGTTCTGAATGGAGTCACATGTTGTTTTTAAATCTAGTGGTGTTCACTGAAGTGCTGGTCATCTATTAAGATAAAAATAAAAAAGAAAAGATGAAAGTTCTGAATGCAGGAAGGCATTAAAGGTTGTAAAAATTTAGGGCTGTATGCCATATAGTATAATAATTTTTTAGGCAATATATTTATCTTACTGAAGTAATAAATGAGAAAATTATAAACACTGTCATAACTCTTGACAAAAAATTTATGAAATATTGCAGTTATTTTTACACATTACAATCAGCTATACAGTGTATTTTGGCTTTAAACAGAACAACTGGGGTAGTCTGGACATGTATTCATTTTTATTAAGAGATCATCTAGGAAGAGGCTGACATTTTTAGTAGCAGGAGAGTGTTGATATGCTGATGAACTGTAGAGAAAATACACTTTACCTCTGGATTTTTGAGTCCTCTTTAGTAAACTAACTTTGGAACTATTTGCCTTTCTTTCTTTCTTTAATGCCGCATTGACAAACGCTTAAGATAGGCAAAATTGTTGTTTTTTCTAGTTCATCCAGGCATCATTTGCCACTGCAGTGGTTTCCATGAAGAGACACTGTGCGCTTTATTGGAGTACCATTGCAAAATCCCTCCCTCTTTCAGCATCAAGTCACTTCTTAGGTTTGTTTTGCTGAAAATCTTAGCAGAAAATGTCACTTTCATTACATCAGGAGTGAAGCTTTTTTCCTACAAGAGTGATTTTTTTTTTTCTTTCCAATATTTACTACTCGTGGAAGAACATTACTGTGTAATGGAACAGCTGATGGGCCGTGTGATTCCTACACATGCATAGTCATTTGATGGGTGGCTTAATCCTCCCCTTTCCCACATGCTGTTCTTGACCACATGTTCCCTCCTTTTTAATTTTGTTGGTTCTGCTAAGCATCAACCTGGTTGACCCAACTGAAAATGAATCCAGAGGGGGTGGGAAAAGAAATCAGCTGAATCAGCAGATAGGATTCTTTTGAATCAGGTCACAGTCAAGTTTGTTTAAACCAATAGTGATACTGCAAGATGATATTTGAAAAGAAAAGATGATGACATTTATGTGTAACCTTTAATCTGTTTATTCGATATTGATGAGATCTTTAAGGTAATGAGATCATGTGTGGATATTTTGCTGACCTATTTTGTGTTAGAAGTGCTAAATTTTAACTATTCTTTTTCTTTCAAGTTTCACTGAAGTATTTTAGTTGTTTGCTTTTCTTGTTGCTCCTCACAGTACTTTGACATAAAAATAAAGGTACTAGTTAAGCAGGAAAAGTGGAAAAATGCTATATTATTGAACAATTCATGTAAATCCTACAGGTGGATAGAATTAGGTATGATATTAAGGACCATTTTTATGGTAATTTTATGTCTTTCCTTAATAGTGGAAATGGTGGCTCATCTACATCAGTGAAAGATCCACTTGGAATTCTAGAAGGCATCGTTTCTGCAGTGCATGCAAGTGTTGAGAAAGGGTAAGAACTTACTGTATGGATTCTTTGGTTAAGACTTTGAAAGATATTTCTCATGAAAGCATTGAAGGTACGATACTGAATATGGATGACTTTTCTTCATGGATATATATAATGGGTTTGCACTTAATTTTCTAAGATTATTCTGGAACAGGCCATCATTTATCAGGTTCAAAATCTGAGTCCTGACAGAAGCCTTTACTTGATCATTTGGAAGAAAGCAAGTCACTGAACTGAAAATTGAGATAACTGTGTTATGGGGATTTGAGAAAATGGTTTTTCTGCTGTGACTACGGCAGATTGTATATCTACCAGGAGTACTTCACTGCATTGTTTCAGTTTAGTAGATAAACTACAAATAATAATGACTTACTTTCAGATATCTGAATTTAGATATCTAAATTTGTCAATATTTGTAGGGTATAGTGCAGAAACAATTTCACAAATGCTGTATAATTTTTTTCTCCTCTTTTGGGGATGTCCTTATTTCAGGTCACGTAATGGTCTGTATGTCTCACGGACATTTTCCATTGCATTTCTAGTAAAGACAAGAAAAAAAAACCCAAACAGTTTTCTTTCCAGATGTACAAACTAAGAATTCATGTATGATAATAATAATAAAACCCCATACTCTCTGGTAGCCAACAAAACTAATTACACTATTGTTTGGAGGCTTCTCCACTGACATTAAATTAGTTAAATACTGGATACTGAAGTAGACTGAATTGATGTAAAAATCTACAGTAAATCTCATTTGCAATATTATAAGGTAGAATGAGAAAGTCGGTAATATTTTATTCTGAGATGCACTTTCTGGAGTCTTATTTGTATACTTCATCAACAATTGACTGCTGAAACAATAAGCTGGACTGAAAGTCATGATTACAGGAGATTGTTTACATTCATTTAAATACTTGTTCTTATTTATCTTCTTAAACCTCAGCTATTCAATTTACAAAATATGAATCTTTCCCTCAGGAAAACATATAGACATCAGGTGTGAGCTCCACAAAATTTTTGAAATATTCCAGCAGGTCCTCTTAATTCCCAAACTTCTAATTTACAGTTTGAATGCCACCTGTTCGACAGAGGCATGTCTAATTTAGCTGAAGTTCTGAGCTAACAGCATCATTCAGACAATATAAAGCCTAAGTAAAATTGAAATCCTTGTAATATGAAAACCTAAGCTGTCAATGTTTATTATTTCAGAGCTGCAAGACAGGATAAATTAGTGTTTTCTGTCTGATATCACTTTCTCGTCTCTCTTGTTAAGACAAATAAAGGAACATTAGTTATAAATCGCACTCCACCTGGAACCACTTTCTTGATTTTTTTTTTTTTTTTTTTTAAAAGAGAAAAAACGTAGCTTTAGTTTAAATCACTACTGAAAGATAGTAGAATAGCATTTACTGATCTGTTACGTGCTAGTTTATAGCCTCTAAGGGACATAACAGATTATTCTGTCTGCAACTGCTAGCTAGTTCATGGCAATCGTGTACTTTCACAATCTGTAAATGCTTTCACACAGTTAGAATGTATTCAATATAATACATTTTTTGAATCAAATTATTTAATTAAGAGTTTTTTTCTAATTAGCCAAGTCAGGAAAACCCCAAAACTTAGGTTTTTTTAATGTCTGGTTTTTTTCTTTCTGGGGATTATGGACATTCTGTAATCATTATCATACTAGAACATACAATAATCAAACTTGCTAGAGATGGTACAGAAAAAAATAAGAAATGGCTAGAGCTACAATCAGGAGAAACTAATTTGTGTATGTGGAGCGTAAAGAAGGGATTTGTAAGGAAAGAAAGAGAATATAGGACAATATGAATAAACGTCAGATATAAAAATGTTGTACTTAAAATGCAAGCAGTCAAGCTGGTTTTCTATAAAGTCAGATGGGGTGGAAGTACAGGTATCAGTCAGGACCAGACACCATAAAAAGGCTTGGATTTTCAGGTGCCGAAATCCAGCACCATTACAATACAATTGGCAATCAAGGTAGTATGTGGGAGAATATGTAACTGTATAGATGGATTTCTATGGTATTACACGGTTATTTGAAGTTCAAAAAACGTTCTTACACCACTTAGCTTTAGGCACCTGATTTAAGAGGGCTAGTTTCTCTGCAGCCTCACAGAGCCGAGCTCTTCCATTTCCAGTGTTATGTATTTGTTACGTATTGAATGTACTTGTTAACAGCTTTGAAAATACACGTAGTACTTTCATTAGGATTACCAAAGACTGTTTAACATAGTATTGTTTAATTACAGGGACAAAGTAGTTTCTTCAGATGACCTTCTGGAGTGGTTGAGACCTTTCTGTGGTGATGACTCTTTAGCAGTGAAGCCTCGCATCAGAGTATTGCAAATTCTGGAGCAAGCCTTCCGTCTCAGTGATGACGATAGCAAGCTACTTGTGTACTTCAGAACACAAGCTGTTCTCAGAGCTTGCTGGCCTGAAACAAAGGTATTAATATTGACTGCTATAAATGATAGGATAAGACTGTTTTTATACATGGATTATGTGATGAAATGCTGTTTTGCAATATATGGTTGCAATGCATCCTGTTGGTATGGGAACTAATCCTATCTTCCTTTTGAATCAGGTTTCTAATACATTATGATTCTTTGAAAAACAAAGTTATGTAAAGTTAATGTTTGGGATCAGGAGTACCTCAGCTTTTGTTTGGGATCAGGAGTAATAATACTGAACTTGATTAAACACTTATGATTTTTGTCCATGTCAAGCATTGACTTTGAAGTTTTTCTATATTCTTTCTTTTCAAATGGAAAGACTTAATTGTTAGGGAATGCATTCGGTCATGGTTAATGTGCTATTGTCTTTTAAGAGACAGCACCTAACAACTGAAAGACAATAGTTGCTTATAAACAGCTCATACCTTTAACTGCCCAAGTGATAATTTTAAGTCTTTTTCAGTGGAAAGTCAGGAAAAAAATAAAGTAAAATCGTTGCTGAAAGAAGTTACTCTTAGCTATATTTATTTGTTTCCAACTAAGAGAGACAGAGTGCTTCTAGTTCAAGTTTTCAGGTCTAAACCAGATTAACTTTTCTTCTGAATTAAAGGGTGACAAAATGCCTAACTTTCATTTTTTAAGTATATGTAAAAGTTGATCCAAGACTAATAAGGGTCATCTAGTGAATGTTCTCAGGAGTGAAAATGCTCAAGTTTGTCGAGTAGAGTATTAAAAAATCCATATATACAAAAAGGCTCTTGTTGGTTATTCATTAATATTTTAACTGCTTTATTTCATGACTCATTTTCGTGAAGTGCTTGATATCAACGTACGTATTTTTAGAGGTTCTAGATTTCTAAGTACAATGAAAATATACTAAAGGCTTAACAGGAAGAAGTAGTCTTGTCTTTTGAAGATTGTGCCGTTTTGAAATCAGATGAGTATCACTTGCTGCACGTAGAATTGTTCAGAAGCAGAGTTACTTTTCGTCCATTTTCTAAATGCTAAGACTTTATGGAACTAAAATAGAATATTTCTAATAGTTCCTCAAAAAATCCATGCACAAAACCATTTTATATTAATTTAAAACAAAAGCAGTATCTCAGTCTTGACTCAGTGTGCTAAGATCATCCAAGGGAATAATCATAATAAAAATCTTAAAAGAAAAAGAAATCTCTTGCTTTCTTTAGAAATTACTTCTTCTCTTGCATTCACAATAATACCAGCGCTTAACTCCTCAACTGCTCTTCAGGTGTCTGTCTATGATTGGATTCTTCATCTTCAGTTCAGTCCTTTGTCAATATTTGTGTTGCCTGTGACCCGCTTTCCAATCCAAAAGCATTTCAAGTCTAAAAGAGGGTTTTTTGAGAATATATAAGATAAGATCACTTTTATTTTCTTCCATAATCTGGTAAGTCAAAATGGATATAACTTTACAACATGAAACTCGCATCCATTTGCTTTTGTCTCGTGATGTTTTAGGAATTAATTGAATGCATTGCATACGCTGCTGGCTCACATGTAGCTCACTGCCCACCAGGACCCCCAAGGCCTTCTCAGCAGAGCTGTTCCCCAGCCTGGCTGTCCCCACCTGTGCTGTCCTGAGTGCAGCATGGCTGCTAGACCTCGTGCGATTCTTGTTGGTCCAATCTTCCAGCCTGTTTAGGTCTCTCCATATAATCTGTTAATAATTTGTTTCCTGAATTGGTGGATTTTTAGAATACTCCTAGTTTTGAGCAGGAAAACATACCAATTATAAGAGTCCTGTTGGAACATATTTTAAAATTATTCTAGTTTTCACGTCAGTTCAAGCTAAATGTAATAGATGAGAACCCTTTGTTTTCAATACTTTTTTTTTTGTTTTGTTTTTCATATTTTGTGCTAGGTAACTAATATGTAATTTAGACGGAAAAGTCATATTGGTTTGTCTGTTAGGTACCAGTCATTGAAATTCAGAGTTCTTCACAAATGTCCAAGAAAACAAATGAGTGATCCACTACTTAGACTATTTTTTTTTTTTCCTCTTCTAGTCAGCTGATGTCAAATGCTAGTCTACAAGTTGATATTAGAAAAAGCAAGTGATGACCTTATTTGATGATTAAGTTTGCTTATTTTGTGTATTAACAAACAGGGAAAATAGCATAATAAAATAGCATATTGAAAACTGTGTACATTTCACAATCCTTCGTGGTATGTTAGTGAAACAAGAACAGTGCAGAATTCAGTAGTTACATGACTGCTGAAGAGCAGAGAGATTTGCTTTGGCAAAGCATTAATTAAGCAAGGTTCTTGTGAAAGTTAATGCGTCAGGTGCAAAGACCTTCAAAAGCAATCCCGTTCCACAGAATGGGATGTTGAAGCACAATTTAAAAGTTTTATTAGGTTGCTGGGTAATCCTGGGTGAAGCAGGGTCAAAAAGTAGAGATGAGGAATTACATCTTTCAAACGTGTGCTCAGACTGCTATGTCAGTCTGCCTTGTCTGTAGGTATCAATTTCTCTAACATCATTACACCTTTATTTATTTGGTCATGCTTTCTCATCCAGTGAAGTAGTAAAAGCCTTGATCACATTTAAAAAAAAAAACAAAAAACAACAAAAAAACCCAAGAGGGGTGTGTGTGGATCAAATGCTGGTTTTAGCTTGTAGAGGAATGCATGTAAAGGTTTGGTTTGGGTTTGTGGTTTGTTTTTTTTTTTTTTGATGAACTTTACATTGTAACATTTCTAAAATGTATCCATTAACTTACTTCTGGATTGTTTTATCCTTTCTTGCTTGACATTTCTTACATGATTTTAGGAGATCCATCTTCTCCTTTACCATTCCTTAGTACAAAAAGGGACAGCAGATATTGTAAAGGATGAATGTGGATTTCTATTGAGTAAAGATAAGTTTAATGATATTGCAGTGTTCAATTGCCAGAAAATGTATGAAAGCCACCCTCAGTGTGTCTACTAATCCTCTTAGTCAGACTTTGCATATATCAAGGAGGGACTTAGTATTTAATTATGCTGTAGGTGCTGCAAGTAGTGGTCCCACAAATCAATGTGCTGCTGGGAAACAAGCCAGCTCTTACAAAATTAAAAATGTACTTTATAGAAGCAGCTACCTATCAAACAGTCAGAAACACAGCAATTTCCAGTTCTCTAATGATTAGTTAACAAAATTAAAAATTTAGGGGTCCTCATTTTTCAAAGACTTGAGGGTCTTTAATTCATGTTCCAATAGCATCCCACGCTGCTAGAGGGAGGAGGCATGCGTTGTTTTAATCCCCCTGATGAATTTTATCTAAGCTCTTCAGGTTCTGTAATTTTCTAGTTAACTGGTGCATGAAAAATATGGGTCAAAATACTGACTTTTTTATATGTAAAAAAATTTTGGGGGGGGTGAGGAAAACGTGGTTTAGAATGTTCATATCAAATTTTAGCTTTATCCATTTAAGATGGGAAATCCATTTGGTTTCATATAATATATAAAAATGTAGTCTGTAATGACATAGCATTGTCTCACATACGTAAGGTATCAACTAGCAGGATATGTGTACATGAATGTGTACAGAGTCGCTCAGTTCAGTGACCAGTTACAAGGCATAAGTTACAGTAATAAGAGGGTTTTGCCCCAGGAAGTTACAGCAGCACTAACAAAGCTTCTGTAGGTAAACCAAGGGTTAGTTTAAGATAAGAAGTTAATAATTGTGAAGCTTCTGTAAGACACACCTTGTCTTAAAAGGATTGTTTAATTATTATGCAAATGCAAAATGTAATTACTGTTTGTATGCCACTTAAATGCAAATAGCTTTGTCATTTAGAGAAGGTAATCTCATTTAGCCTTTCCCCTCATATTGTTATATTATGTTTTTTTCATGATCTTGGGGTATACAGAGCTGCTGAGGGCTAAGCATTTTTGAAAATTGGAAGGGATATCTAAAATGAATTTAAGATTGTAAATTTAGGCACCTTTCTTATTTTGGGGTTGTTTTCCCTAAAGTTTAACTTTGAAAAATTGCCAGATTAATTTCTATTTGTGTTGTGTATATCCCCCATATATTTGCCCTTCCTTCATATAGGCAATTTATGTATGCCATGTGCAAGTTTTGTGTCTCAGCAACCTTAGTAATGTCGACGTTAACATAATGACTATCTGAGAACTTGGCTATGGCTGTCAAGCCTCCATTGCTCTTTTATCCCTCTTCCCCCCGTATATGAAAAATGTCTATCTGTTTACATACAACCTCATAAAGAAAGGTTTCAATGGGAATAATTCAGTGTCCTGTGATTTTCAACTTTTTCCCATTACCTGTACTTGTGTCAGCTACGTCTAAACCTAAGTTTGGAAAGCAGAATGAGATTTAAGAATTCCCAAGTCATTTTGCTGAAGTAATTTATCAGATAACAATGACCTGTATTTAGCTTGATCTGGCAAAATATAGGTGAAGGAGCTGTATCTGTTTAATTCTCAGCCATCTTTTATTTATGAAACATGCTTAATTAGAAGAAAGGTTTATGGTCCTATCACCTTTAAGTAAATTTGTTACAATGTTGTTTATAATTCTAGAGACATTGTTTCTTTACTGGTAATGCATAAAAATTAAGTTTAAGAAATTTAATTTAAGTTTTAATTAATATTTTGAAACACTAATTTCCGTTCCTTGAAGATGCAATTTATCCATATGAGAACGTGTGAAATGTATTTTTTCTGGGAACATAAATTGTAGCGTGCATGATTAATTAAATACTTTTAAGATGCAAATGAAATATTTTCCATTAACTACGCAAGTAAAACGGATAAGACAAAATGGAGAGAGAAGCAGTATAGCTGGAGTGAACATGACTGTTTCGAATGCGAGCCCTGTGTACCGCAGTATTTTGTGGCTAGCAGCAGTTGCTTCAGAGGAAGATAGGAGTGCTCTGGAGTGGATTCATGGGGGATAATTCACTTCCTGTAATAGGTCTTTTGTAATGAAGGTATAGGCGGAGAACGGTTTAAACCTTGCA